TGGTTAACCTTAATCTTTAAATAATGCTTGGTTGAGCACCTGTATCATGTTTAAAACTATGGGACTGCTGTAGGTAGTAGTGTACTTTTGGTGTTCAGACACCATTGGTCGAAGTGCCTGTTATATACTGTGATTCTGTTGTCCATTTAATGAGATACCAATTCAAAGGTTATGGTGGAAAATAAAAGGTAGGTGGGAGCGTTTTAGTATGATAAAAGTTGGTTGGTTGGCAGACATATACATGTTTAAACCAGCCTTTAATTGGCAGGATGTGAAAAGTGGGGTCCAGCAAGAGTCTATGCTGGATCTGACCTTACAATTTACTTTAATAACTTGGTCGAGGGGAGCAAAGGCTTGGTAGTTAAATTTCTCGATGACACTAAGCAAGGTCCTCCACATCGTGCCTAAGAAAGGAAGGGAAGTATTCTTTGAAGCAGAAAGTTACATGGACAGTGCAGATGGGTTGACTGAGTGGGCAAAAGCCTGGCTAATGGAGTGTAGTGTCAGAATTGTTCACCTTAGCAGAAGGAACGGAAAAAAGCAAAGTAATTATTTAACAGAGAATGACTGCAGAATTCTGAGGTGCAGCGGGATTTAGGTATTCTCGTGCACGATTCTAAAAAGTTACTGTGCAGGTACAGCACGTAATCAAGAAGGCTAGTAGGGTGCAACTTTCATTACAGTTGTAACTGTATCTGCATCTTCCACTTTCTCTGGCATTTCATTCCACACACACCATACTGTGTAAACAAAAAAAAAGTTGCACAAAGTGTCCTTTTTTAAAATCTTTCTCCTCTCCATAAAAATATGTCCCCTAGTTTTGAAATCCACCCCCCACCCTAGCAGAAAGACCCTTGCCATTCACCTTATCTATACCCTTCATGATTTTATAAACCTCAATAAGGTCACCCCTCAACCTCCTCCACTCCAGTGAAAAAAGTCCCAGTCTTTCGGGTCTTTTTTTTTTATCTCAAACCCTCCATTCCCAGCAACATTCCTAGTCCATCTTTTCTGAACCCCCTCCAGTTTAATAATATCCTTCCTATAACAGGTGACCAGAACGGCACTCCAGAAGAGGCTTCACCAATGTCCTATACAACCTAAACATAATATCCCAACTCCTGGACTCAAAGGTCTGAACAATGAAGGCAAGCATGCTAAATGTCTTCTTAACCACCCTGTGTGCCTGTGATGCAAATTTCAAAGAATTATGTACCAGAACCCATGGGGCTGTCTGTTTGACAACACTACCCAGGGCCCTACCGGTAATTGTATAATCCTGTCCTTGTTTGTGTTACTAAAATGCAATACCTCACATGTATCCAAAATAAATCCATCTGCTACTCCTCAGCCTATTGACCCTGTGCATCAAGATCTCTTTGTAATCTTAGATAATTTTCTTCAATGTCCATTATACCACCAATTTTGGTGTCATCTGCAAACTTCCTAACCATGCTGCCTATAGTCGCATCCAAATCATTTTTGTATAAATGACAAATACAAATGGACCCAGTACCAATCCCTGTGGAACGCCACTGGTCACAGGCCTCCAGTCTGAAAAATGACACTCAACTAACACCCTTTGTCTCCTACCATAAAGCCAATTTTGAATCCAATTGGCAAGCTCACCTGAATCCCATGTGATCTAACTTTACTAAGTCTACCATGTGGAACTTTGTCAAAGGATTTACTAACAACCAAGTAAACATTAGCATTACTACTCCGCCGTTATGAATCTTTTTGATTACTTCATTAAAAGACTCAGTCAAGTTTTTGTGAAGAAAACTGTCTCACAAAACCATGTTGACTATCCCTAATCAATCCTTGCCTCTCCAAACGCACGTAAATCCTATCTTTCAGAATCCTCTTCGACAACTTAACCACCACTGATGTCACATCACATCCTATGAAAATTTCTTAGTTGAGCTTGGCATAAAATAAGTTATTGTTAGAGCGAATTGATTCCCTTTGAGAACCAATAAAGTAGAATAGTTTCAGAATAAGCATTGACAAAAGTTTTGTTTTCAACTCTCTTCAATTCCGTGAACCTAATGTTATGATCAATGGTCGATTAAATGTCCCATTTTCAAGTTGCTTATCTGTTCCAAATCATTTTTCAGTGTCAACTTCTGACAGTGAAATTTGCAACAAAGCATGGGAAATTGTTCAAGGTAGATGTCTTGTTTTGGGTTGACAGAGGGATTAGCTGTTTAACACAATGTGGAGCTGGAGGAACACAGGCCAGGCAGTATCAGAGGAGCAGGAAAGTTGACGTTTTGGGTCGGGACCCTTCATAAATTTCCTGCTCCTCTGCTGCCTGGCCTGCTGTGTTCCTCCAGCATTCCTGCTATCTCCGATTAGCTATTTAATATGTTGCTATTGCACAGATCCTATTTAGAGTATCATGTGACTTTGCTGTCTAGGCATCATCTGAATATTACTGACCTGGAGAGGAATAGAAACAAGCAACCATGATGATTTTAGAATCTGGAATCTTAAGTTAGAAGTTGGTAATGTTGTTCTTCAAAAAGAGAGCTTGGGGTGAACCCATTGGAGTGGGGGGGTGGATTCTCAGATTGTTTAAGAGGGTTGACACTTCCTTAGCTAGGCAAGTTTTATGCATTGTAGTCAAGTTGAAATACCAGGGAACAAATTGGAAATCCTTGTCAAGAATAAGGGAAAAGAACTTTTGTACCCTATTTTACATGGTGTTGAACTTACCATTGTAAATTTAAAAGTATCCCTACTGCCACCTCCTGTAGCATTGTCTAAATTAGCTTCTTGCCTAGTCCGTCTGATGAAACGGCCTTCCATGTCTTTTCTATCTACCAGATTTCACTATTACAAAGTTTCTCTGGCCATTCGCCACTCTTGATGATCATCGGCTCATCTGAAACTCTGGCCCACGTCCAATTCTGCATTAGCTGCAGCCTAACCGCCCCCCTATATATGTTACTATCTTATCCCCTAACATTTCAAATTAAAACAAAGAACGAAACAGCACAGGAACAGGCCCTTCAAGCCTGCGCCGACACATTTTGCTCTTCCATGCTAAAACTGACTTCACTTACAGGATCTGTGTTCCTCTATTCCTTCCTGTAGATGTTTTTGACTGGGTTCGTCTTGAATGTTGTTATTGTCTGTTTCCACCGTCACCTCTATTAATGTGTTCCAGGCAGTCACCACTCTTTGTGAAAAATGTGCCTTGCATATCTCTTATAAACATCCCTCCCCCCACCCACCCACCCTCCTTGAACCTGTGTCCCCTGGTAATTGACCCCTCCACCCTGGGAAAAAGGCTCATACTTTCCACTCTATTCATGCCACTCACAATCTTTTAAACTTCTATTAGGTCGCCCCGCAATCTCCTGCGCTCCAGTGAAAACAAACCCAGTCTATACAACCTTTCTTCATAACCTAAATCTCCTCTACCAGGCAACATTCTGGTAAACCTTTTCTGTACCCTCTCCAAAGCATTCACATCCTTCTGATAGTGGTGTGTCCAGAACTGTACGCAATATTCCAAGTGTGGCCTAATTGAATTTCTATAAAGCTGCAGCATAACTTGTCTATCCTTACACTCAATGCCCCTTCCAATGAAGGCAAGCATGCCATAAGCCTTTTGTACTACTTTACCTACCTGCGCTGCCTCCTTCAGCGATCTGTGGACCTGCACATCCAGATCCCTCTGCATATCAATACTCTGAAGAGTTCTGTCATTCACTGTATAATTTCCAACTGTACTTGACCTTCCAAAATGCATCACCACACATTTGTGTAGATTGAACTCCATCTGCTATTTTTCTGCCCATGCCTCCACCTGACCTATATCCTGCTGTATCCTCTGACAATTCTTCTCACTATTGTCAGCTCTGCCAATCTTTGTATCGTCAGCAAACATGCTAATTAGATCAGCCATGTTTTCCTCCAAATCATTTATGTAAATTGAAGATGTCCACTCTCTGGTTTGCATTTTTCACTTGCTTCCTTCTCTTTGTAATCTGCTACAGCCTTCCACTGTCTAGGACCTGTGCCATGATAGACGCTCTGAATGCCTCCACTGCCCTGTTAGGAACCAGCATTATCCCTTGTAACTTCTGAGTATTACTTTTCTTTGCCAGATAACTGTTAAGTCAATTATCAATAGCTTGCATTAATTTAATTTCATAACTCATTTGATGACACTTCACTGGAACATTATCAAAAAAAAATTGGACACCATGATGCGCAAGAGATATTAAAATATATGAAACTTTTGTAAAGCAAGAAAAAGAGCTTGATAAGCTTGAGCAGGGAATTGCAGACCCTTGGGTCTAGGGAGTTGAAGTAATGGCCACCAGAGGTGGATTGAATAAAAATGGGAATGCGCCAAAGGTCAGGATTGAAGGAATGCAGAGCTTTCAGAGAATCTTGGGACAAGAGAAGTTGACGGATTGGAGGTATTGAGATAATGGGTAATTTGAAAACTAGCATGAGATGGCTAAAGTCCATGTTGTTGAAGAGGAGGACAAGATTTAGGTCAGATTCTGTCTCAACATGCTTTATTTAGTTCTTGGGCAAGCATATTTATAATTATAGCTTTAAGCACAGACTTTGAGGCTGATCTTTGCCAATGTTGGTTTCTAAAAGTTTGGAAGATCGATCTGAGTTTGCAGCACTTAAAAGTCACTGAAGTAGCAGCCTATAGGGAGAATCTGGAATAGTGTTGTGTTTTAAAAAAAAAAAGCAAAACTGGGAGGCAGACTTTTTAATCATTTAACGTTTTCATTCCATGAAAGAATAGAAAACTTAATGGGCATGACCAACATTTATTGATGATCCCAAACTGCCAACGTGACTGGTGGTAGCGAGCTGGTGCCTTGAATCACTAGTCATGACTAGAGCCTGGATGTTATTTTGAGATATGCCTACAAGTTGAAGCACATGTTGTAATTTTCAAATCCACAATGTTTATTAGTTTTTAAACGCTAAACTTCAATTTTATTTTGTTTTGTTTTCAGTTATCCAGTCACTCATTGCACTTGTGAATGACCCACAGCCTGAGCATCCCCTAAGAGCTGACCTAGCTGAAGAATACTCTAAGGACCGTAAAAAATTCTTTAAGAATGCTGAAGAGTTTACAAAGAAATATGGAGAAAAGCGGCCAGTGGACTAAGACTTGTCATGCTGCCTTTCTGATTTCAGATTCTGGGCAGTACATTTGAAACACACCATCCAGCAGGACTCTGATGAACACATACAAGTGTCACCTTTGGTGTTTACTTGTGGCTGTTACTAACTTTCTACAGTTTTCATATAATCAGAAGTGGTTTAGATAATGACTGTTCAGATGGGATTAAAACTTTAAATAAGACAGTCTAGTTCTGCTTTCTAGTTTAAAAACACAAAATCACTGCTTTAATAAACAACTTTTCTCTCTCAATTCCATGAGTTCTTTTAACAGATGGTATTCTACCCTTGAGCTCAACAAGTAGGTTGCATTTTTTTGTCTTCAGCCTCCCCTTTTTTTTTCTCATTTTGATAATGTTATTTTCCAAACTGATGTCTTAGTGAAAAACAGCAAAATCTTGAAGGAGATTGATGAATATTGAAGCAATTTGTTTACTTTCTCTTAATGTTGCACTGTTTTGTGGGAAACCTGGTTGCAAATAGACCTGGCCTACAATGTGCTAAGAACATTGGAAAGGGAAAGATGCTCCGTTGCTGGAGAGAAAAAAGCAGCTTGTTCCCATGTAATTTAGCTTGTGTTACTATACATTGATGTTGACAAAATAGGAAGCCCATGGATTTGCATGTGATTAAATGTTGCAAACGGGATTAATTTTCTAAAGTTTTTTTTCTAGTGTTCTTTCTCCTTATTTACCTCTGAAATGATTTGTCGAGGATACATGCTGATTACATTCTGTCAGGCTGTATGACCCAAATGCTCACCTTATCTACATCACTTTTCACACACTTTGAAATTCACACTCATGTAAATCGTAAGTTAAACGCAATGCAAGGAGATTCAAAATGGCAATTGACTGCCACATTTTAAGTGCAACATGTTTGTCTGGAGCTGTTTATGGGTTAGGTGGTCTGTTTTAATCGTAAAGGAATTCAAAATTAGCAATAGGAATTTAAGATTAATGAAGTGATTGCATGAACAGATCGATACACCTGCATTTGCCTCCTGGCTACTGTTGAGAACTTTGCATTGCGAATGGCATTTGTTCTTTCTTCACTTATGATTTACTTTACTAATTTAATTTAATGTGATTCAGAAACTCTCTGCACTCCTGTGGAATCGATCCTGTGCATTCTGCTTCACTAGTTTAGATGTAGTGGTTACTTTGCAATAGCATTCGTAGAAATGGTTGGATTTTCTTAATCTTGCATCCAGCTTGGCTAATTTATGGAAGATGCTGAGCCACACCAACATGCTGCTTTTATGCAAATTTACATTGGTTAATCCAGCCTCTGAAGAGTGTTCACATTTTGCTCATTCCTTGGAGAGCTGAAAAGAAGTAACTGACGTCAGAGCTTTGTAACACGAGTAAAGATCTGGGATGTTTAATTTCAAGACACTGTCACACTCAAATGTAGTCAATCACTTTTAAATTAGGAATTGGAATTAGTTGAAGATGTCTGCTAGACAAATCTTTGACAATAAATTGACTGCTGGCAAAACTACTGCTGGTGTAATGTCTAATTAGAGCAATGTTGTCCAAAGAAAGTCATGTGCTGATTATCCTGATTTTTTTTTTTTTTTTTTCTTATCCATATTTCCATGTTTTAATATAGAAGAGAAATTAGAATGAAATTTGAGCATTAAAATAAGGGTATATGGAAGAATATTTACACTGCTGAAATGTGAGTTGGTTGAGGTTGGTCAAAATACATATTCTGGGCTATGTTTTTAAGTGGATTATTAGCTCTGAAATTGTATCCTATTTTGACTCGTGTACATTTTACCGCTGTTTAATCTACAGTATGATCTGTAAAACGGGAACAACTACCCTTTAAACCTAAGTACCCAATATCATTTTTTTAAGCAGTCGACATTAAATTTAGTCTGAATAAAGCTTAATTGTCTCAATTGGGTTTGTAAAGAAAATTGTGAATGATGCTGGACTTGACAAACTTCCAAGCACTTTGGGATTCAAATAAAACTTCATGCAGTGTATTACTGGACATCTGAGCACTTTCTCTCTTTTCTCATCTTTTCCCTTCCCTGACCCCACAGCTTTATTCAACCCTATATATTAGATCTATCATCCTACAATGAAACAATGCCATCAAAGTAATCTTGTTTAGATCTTGTTTGAGCTGACCAGGTTCAACGTAAAACAAGCAAGGTGATGTGCTTAGGATTGTCTGAAGGAAAAGGTTCGTGCAGAAACTTCACTACATGTGAAGTAGACAACTGACAAAAGAGCAAATTAACAATTTTTATTAGCTTTGGAGCATATTAAAATGTTTTTGAAATCATGGGAAGTAGTTTGGAATTGAACTTTTTCTGTTCTTATGTAGATGAAATGAAAAAGTCGTGACCCATCTATTAAATTGACAAAATGCATAAACTTTGGATGTTTTCTTTTTAGATTTATAACGAACAACTATTTAGGAAAACAAGATTTATGCTAACTGCAAACGTGACTGGGATGACTTTGAATGGCAACAGTCTCACTTTGGACTGCACTCAAGCTTTGTGTCAGTACATTGCTCAGCATCCATGACCTCATTCTACAAGACAGTGGAGGAACAAATAGTGGTATTACTGTGCAGTATTAGAGCTGCTTTAGAAAGATTGAGGTAACATCATTCAAACTTCTGGACAATTCTCACATCTGGCTGATTTCACTTTTAATGAACTTTCCCTACCGTATCTTTCTCTTAAAGTTTTGAACTGTTGGGAACATACTGTCCACATGTAAATCCATATCTTCATAGAGATCTCTCCTGAGACAGAAGAAGGTTGCAACAAGGTAGGAACCATGCAATTTTAAAGAATATCCCTGGTTGAATCTTGATTTAAAACTGCTGGTCTCCGTTCAGTGCCTCAAATAATTGCACAGGCACAAATTAAACCAACAAGTCATGACAATGTGCAGGATATGTCTTGTTAAATTTTATTTGATTTCCAACATAATATATTTTAATAAGGTAAAAACACTAGTTCAATTTGCTTCCCATTTCAAATAGATCAGGTTTCTTTTTCATGTGAAAACCTCCCATCGTTAGCATCTTTGCCTTCTTCTACAAACGATGACTTGATTTGACTTCCACAATTTACAGGCCACTGTTTTAATGAAGCACTGAATCTTGCAGAACCAGGTCAATTTCTAGTTTATTGTGAGATAACCTCTTAAATAATTAATTGCGGGCCTCAGTAACCCTCAGTTAAACAGGGGGTGGCAAGTCCTGGCCATGATTTCTGGCTAGTGACTCCTGCAGAAAGCTGTCGATATTTGGATGTTGAGTGTGAATGATAGGCTGTGGTGCCTTTTAAAATTTATAATGCTCAGGTGAAACTGTCTGCATGTGACAAAATACTAAGAAGAGATTGAAGGGGAGAATCAAATACAAACCCAACTTTTATCTTGTTAAATTTCCAAAGATTTTTTTTTTTGTGTACATAGTTGATTAAAGGCTACACTTTGCAATAATGATTCTGTGGTTAGACTGCTCACCAGTAAGTGTTGCTAAATCTGTCAATATTACTGTAGCTTTTGTATAATGTTATATAACCTTGCACTGTTTACATTTAAAAGCAGCATTTTGAAATTCTCCAAAGTATTATCTTGCCACATGATTATTGAAGTACCATACAGGGCCATTTGATAGTGCCGTTACCATGAACTAGATAATTGCAAATTTGCAAATCGAAGAAAAAACAGATCTGAACTAAAACCACAGCATGCTAAAGAGATTATTATGCAACAGTGTTGTATCCTCCTTTATAAAGATGACAATGAAATATCTTAATTTGCAAATTGGCAGCATTAGTAAGATTTTAATCTGTAAAAATGATCTGCCATGATCTCAACACCTAGCAAGACAGTGGATATTGTTTGGCACTTGGACTGGATACAGCTTCGCTTATTTTTTTTAAGTATTACCTAAAATTTTAAAAATCATTGTTTGTGTAGCCTTATGTGGGTGATATGTACAAAGACTATACTACTAGAGGAGAACAAACCTTTCTGTGGAAAGGTTCATCTATTGGCAGAAACAGGTACAAATGCATTTGAGGAAACTACAAACAGAAAAATAAATGCATAATCCAGGCAATCATGCTTATAGTGCAAAGCTTCCTGATCTATTTTGGTTGTGTACTTTCTAGTTTGCAAGTATTAATGCCATGAATTAGATAAGCATCTTACAAGAGCCAAATCATTAAATTTTATTTGACAATTCTATTAAGATTCATTTGAATGTTCTGTTACCTTTATACAACAGCACATTGTCTGGTATTTAAGTCAAAAGTCAGTCAAATCAAAACCGTTTTTTAAAAACCGCATACTTGAGTACAACCAATCAGCAGCCATCCAGACCTAGGATACTCTCCCGTCCACCTCACAGTTGTGAAATAACCTCGTGGGCAGCATAGACTGTAGTGTTTCAGGAATTTATGGGTGCAGTTATGTTTGTATTAGGACCGTCCAAACCATAAACTTTGCCAATAACTCTATGATGGATAACATAGTACTTTGCATCAAGGAACTAGAGACATACTCCAGTGCCCACAAATGCATGCTGTAATTGAGGCATTCAGAAAGGCATTGGATGATAATTTAGATAATGATGCTGTTCAGGGACATGGCGGGGGAAAAAGACAGGTGATTAGCAGTAGCTAACTGAACTTGTGCAGGCATGATGGGATGTATAGCCTCCTGTGTCACAGCAGTTCTGTGATTCTGTGAAAATTGTTCAGTTGAACAGTTTGTCACCAGTTTTTATTTATGACCAAATGCTGATTTTAATCATTAATCAATGATTTCTCCCATGTCTTCATATTAAGTTTCAAGTTATTGCACATTGTTTTGTAATTCTGTATGTCAGTATTCATTTATATAAGTATAGTTTAATGCTTTCTAAATACAAGCTTTCTCTGAGGCATTAATTTTATCAAAATTGGTTGCCTTGTTACTTCATTGTTTGATGCTGTGGGTAGCAAACTTTGAAGTATTTGAAACACAGCACTGAACATAATTTCTATTTCCTTGAACACCCAATAAGTTCAACTGATGATTTAGATTTTCGTTAAGAATTGGCACTGATATCTGCTCTGATTGGAACTGAAGTTTCCGAAAGGGGATTTCTTACTGTAGTTGAATTCCAATTCCATTAAAGGTTAAGTATTTTTCTGTATGACCAGTGAAATATTGGATAATCTAGTTTCACTTGTAAACCCATGTCTTTTTCTGTGATTCCATGGCATTTAATTTGCAAAGATTTCTGGCATTGCCATCTTCTAGTCCCTGAAAGCCTCAAGTCTATGTTCGTCTCCCTCCCTCTGAATTATTTTCTCAGATCCTATTTCCTTTATGTCTTTGAAAGAGCACAGTTGTATATTTTTGTCCTCATAATATTTTAGTAGCTTTGACTCCTTGAGGGTTTGCAGTTCAAGAAATCTATCTGCAGACATCGAAAACTCATCAGGCCCTTCACCGCATCCACCCTCTTCAGGAAAGCTGGGATAACCAGGATGTACCATTAATTCCATTGTCAATATTGCATCATCCTGCAGACGTCGGAATCTTTTCCCACAGGAGATGTCTGCCCTTGTGGCTATGGCATTCTCAATAACTCGCTGGATATTTGATACTGACATATTTTTCCCCATTGTTGTTAGGCCAATATAGATATCAGCCCACCTGTCGGGAGTAAAAAAAAAAATTGTCAGCCATCATTTGAGATAAATGTAATTTCTGTTTGTTAACACAACAAATTATTAAGTGTTGAGATAGATGGAGCTTACAGCCAAACAAGTGTTTAGCAAACTGATCCCTCAATTGTCCACTAAGGAACTTACTATATTAAGAAGCATTCATTGCAGTTAAGCAGGTCACTTGATAAGACTATTAAGATAATGTGTGGTTGCAACCAAAGTCCATCTACCTACCTTTAATCTTCTATCCCTTAATACCCTGACTTAGCAAAAAGCCTTGGGTCCAGATATCATTCCAATAAGTCTACACTGTATTCCAGGGGCTGTGCATAGTGGCTATGTCCCTAGCTCTGAGTCTGGAGGCCTGGCTTCAAGTCCCACTTGCTCCAGAGGTATGTCATAACATGAAACTGCAGGCATGTCACTTAGTTGCAGTTGGCCAGGACGGGTTCAATTTCAATTATAACAAAGTATGTCTCCTTTATTCTTGCTTTCTCAACAGGAATCTTTCCCAAGAATTTGAGTAAATCAACAAGTCAGAAATTTGTTCCAGTATTGATGATCCTTCTGAAGCAGTGGACATAGTCCCCAAGGCAGATATCAACATCACAACTGCTCAATCCTTCCAAGATGAAGGATACTATTTTTTGGGGGGGTTGGGGGGGTGGTGGTGGCGGCAAGCAGTGAGGTGGACATTATTCTCCTTGGAACAAATGAACTCCTGTTGCCTAATTAGTATGAAGAGGCAGTTGTGAGCATCAGAAATCGTAATATTTCTAGGTTATTCCTGCAGCATAAAGCTGTTAAGAAGCATTGCTTTGTTTGCAACACTACATCCAAAGACTGCTTCTTGATGAATGTTATAGTGTGGAATATTTAATAATTATACTGACATCCATAAATGCTGAGTGGAGAACATAGAGGTAAATAGTTTGGCATTCCACAATACTGGAAATTATGTTTGAGGCTGTCAGAAAATGTGATAGATATCTAGGGAGTTTAAGGCATAAGCTAATATCCTTGAACCAGTACTCTTGGAATATTGGTTCAGAGAGACAGCATTTTCCGATGCGCTGTCCGCTTAAAAAGCATTCTGTTCCTTTAAGTGGAATTCCAATGTGCAGAGTAGTTAGTGTTCTCATGAATCAAGTCACAAAATATTTGTATGTAGGTACAACATGTAATCAAGAAGGCTAATCCTTTAGTACAGGATGAAATGAACATAAAAGTAAGTTCAGTTATGCAGGGCACTGTAAGAGCACATCTCCAATACTGTGCAGTTTGGGTCTGTTTTAAGGAAGGATGTAAATAAGTTGGAGGTGGTTCAGAGGGCGCTTACCAGATTTATATCTGGAAGGATGGGTTGGCTAAGGAAAGATTGGATGGGTTATGCTTTTTTCTACTGCAGCTTTAGAGTGAGCAGTGACTGGATTGAAGAGTACTGGATCCTGAATGGACTTGACAAGTGGATGTGGAAAGTTATTTCCTCAACTATTGCTGCCGTAGGATAGACGGAGAGATGTTTGTCTGGCCGTGGAGTTTGAGCCATGCTATCGAGGTTAGGGAATGATCCACAGTACTGGAGATGGGAGAAATTTCTTTATTAAAATAATACAGATTAATTGGAATTTTCCATGCTAGAATGTTCTCATCAAGCCAAAGCAAAACTGACACAGGAGCTCGATAAGATGAAAACAGGCCCTTTTTATTGTGCAGAAAACAATCAACAGGACCATTCAAACCAGGATTGGACCAGGATGTTGCCTTTTCTGCAGACCTTGAGTCCTTGGAGCAGAGGAGACTGAGGGGAACACAGTTAAGATGTATAAAGTTTTGAGGGGCAGGCTAGACAGTAAGGAACTTTTTCCCCTTGGTGGAGGGATCAATGACTGAGGGGACATAGATTTAAGACAGGAGGTTAGAGGGGATTGAGAGGATGTTTTTTCAGCCAGTGGGTGGTGGGAATCTGGAATTCTCTGCCTGTAAGGGTGGTAGAGGCAGAAACCCTCCTAGCATTTCAGTAGTATTTAGAGTGAGCTGCCAAAAGAAGTAGTAGAAGTGAGGACAATTACAACATATAATAGATTTGGACAGGTACATGGATAGGAAGGGTTGAAGGGGAATATGGACCAAGCAAATAGAACCAGTTCAGTTTAGGAAATTTGGTCAGCACGGATGAATTGGGCCAAAGTGTCTGTTTCCATGCTGTATGGCTCTGCACTTGCAATGCCAAGGCACACAAGGTTACAGGCCAAGTGCTGGAAAATGAGATGAGAATAGTTAAATGGGTTTTTTTTTGAATCAGTGGTCTGAAGGGCCTTTTTCTGCACTACAGACCTCTGTGACTTTTAAAAACAAACTTTAACAGGCTTCAGGTGAAAACAATTTTAACTGATTTCTCAAGTCTTCCTTTTTTTTAAAGCCCTTTTTTAGTTTTATAATTGTCCTTATTAGAAACTGGAGGCAAAACACAAGGGATAACTCAATGTGAGATAGGGCAGAGTGAAGGGTGACGCTAGTTGGTACATGATCATAACCATATATCGGACTGCTGATTGAAAAGGTGGGAGAAATGTGTACTTGAAAGGAAAGAGATGGTGGCTGTAATTTTGGCCTAAAGTAATTATTACTTGCATGAAGCACATTAAAGGATTATACCTGCCTCCAGCATAGTTTTGGCATTTACCTGATTCCATGTTGTTTAAATACGTCTATTGAATTGAATGCATCTTTTTCGACTTGCAGATAGAAGTCCATCAGCTGTTGTCCTATCCAATCACAGTCATGCAGGCCTGGTTCTATAGGGACTCGAGTATACTTGATTCCATAATCTGAAAGTACTTGTGCAAATATATCTCTTATACCTGTGTACCAAAAAGTAAAGCAGATGAACACAACAGCTCCATTAGTTTTTAATCATCATGCTGTGATTTATCAAGAATCTTCACAAAGTTGATCTTTAGATTTCAGCATTTCATCCTTCTAATTGCGTTAGTTCGATGTTTTAGATTCTGAGATTAAAAACGCTCAAACAGGATGATCGTTTAAGATAACAGCAATTGAAAATTTGGATAATTGCAAAGTTTTTGCATGGGTGATAAGACTTCTGCATGCACCTGAACAATAGAGACCTGCTTTAAAGGGAAATCTTGCACAGCCTAGATTTTTAGTCCGTCTGAATTCTGAGGTGAGGATCAGCTGGAAGATGTGAAGGCTCGCATAATGAAGAGGGAAGATGTGGGAGAGGAGCACAGTCATTTCTTAATTTATGCCACTTGCCAATGGTGGGGAAGATGGCTGGGTTATCTACTGGAAGCCCATTTGCCACCTAGGTGAGCATTTAAAGCCATTTCCTACTTTTTGTTGGTATTGCCTGTTGGGAGGATGGGTGGAGTAAGAACTGGAGTTGTCACTGCATTGGGAAACCGTCCAGTGAAACCTGGCCACATCTCAGCAGGCTTAAGGGTGGGTTCAGGGAAGGCAGTAAGGGGCGTGGAGGTATCCTCCTTTTATGCTCACTCAATGTCTCAATACTCAGCAAATGTTGCTGCTGACAAATCACAGACACTCCTCAAGCCCCAACTGTTGGGATCTGGCTTCCCAACCTACCTCCGTGCTCTTTAACTGCACTTGTGCCCTCTTCCTGGAGCTGCAGCATCAGTAATGGTCACCACTAGTACTGCTGAGCTCCTGGCTCTCTGATTGGACTGACGGCTTTTGGGAAGGCCACAGTGCTTAATTGCCAATGACGGCAGGCCTTCATCCTTCTTGGCAAAATCTAGCCTTGAATCAGTCACTTAGGTGACAAGTCAGAAGATCTGACAGCAAAGACTGAAGCTTCTGGACTGATATCAAGGCATAAAATATTTCATTTCTCTCATGGGCTTTTAAGATTTTCTTGAGTGCTATTTTGTTTTCAGGGCTGTTTTTATTCTCACCACTTCATTTATTGGGTGATATAGTCGTATAATAACAATAGCTTCTATGTTTGCATAGAAGTATTTGGATTCTCTCAAATGGAATTTGAAGAATTTGTCAGTTGCCTCAACAATTGTTGATTTTAATGTAAAGCCACAATGACTCACAAGGAAGGTCTTATTTTCTAAGTCACCACAGTAGAAAAGTTAGACAGAAGTTAGCAAAAGATTTTTCCAAAATAATCACATATGCATTTACGTAGATTGATGAGGTTGCAGCTAATGTGTTTCCATTGCATTTGTGTAAAGGTGGAAGGTTACTAACTACTCTTTTCTCTAAGATAGTTATCTTTGAAATTTTCATTCACTCAAAAGACAGCAGAAGCAAAGTCTGACTTTAAGGCGGTGATAAATTGCTGATAAGCAAGGGGTTAAGTGGTAATGAGTTGAATGGCAGAGCAAAGTCAAGGGGATGAATGATCTACCAATTCGTAGGTTCGTATGTACCCTTTTTATTGTATCTCTGATTAAAATTTAACAATTGATACTTTGTCCATTCATTACATTATTCCACATGGCTCCTGAAGAAATGTAGCATTAAGCTAGAGATTCCACATTAATCTGCAGGGAATTCATTCCAACAATAATTACAGGTTTTCCTGGAGCTTAGTTTTTCTTAGTATTCTTAGTTGAGAGGTTTAAAACTGTTCTCTCTACTTTGCACCTTCCTTCTTCCCCCCTGAAGCCTACCTTTCCCTCTGCTCCCACCAGTCTCCTTGTGCCTCTACCACACACCCTCCCTAGCCTTAAGAGGAACTAGGGTCCTTTTCCAAATGTGGAAGTCATTCTTTTTTTGTTTACTTCAATGTATCAATTGCTTTAGCATCACATATCTTTCTAGCCATCCTTATCTAGAACTAAGAGAAAAATAAGGCAATGTGTCTTAATGCCTACTGCCCAGTGGCTCTGACATCCAAAATTATGAAGTGCTTGGGAGGTTCTAGCCTCCCAGATTGCCTTGATCTACTACAATTTACCAATGACAACAGGTCCATGGCAGACACACACATCCTTGGAAGAGATAAGTGATAGGACAAAAATCTAACCTATCTGCATCCCTTCTAGGTTCCTTATGTCCTCTTCACAACTAATTTTCCTGCCTCGAGATAGTAAGAACATCGATGCTGGAGTCAGAGATAAGTATGGAGCTGGAGGAACAGGAAAGCTGATTTTTCGGGTCGGGACCCTTCTTCAGAAATGGGCCCATTTCTAAGAAGGGTCCTGACCCGAAATGTCGGCTTTCCTGCTCCTCTGATGCTGCCTGGCCTGCTGTGTTCCTACTGCTCCGCACTGTGTTATTCTTAATTTTCCTGTCTATCTTTGTGTCTTTGCAAATTTAGCTACCGTATCTTCAATCCCTTCATCCAAATCATTGACATAAATTGTAAAGTTGAGGCTCCTGCACTGATCCCTGTGGCACATCACTCATGACATCCTGCCAGCCTGAAAATGACCCATTTATTCCTACTCTCTGCATCCAGTTAGCAAGCCAATATTCTATCCTTGCAATTTTATTTGCCTTTTCATTTTAATAGACTTGGAAGTAGAGGGGAGTGAGCACATGTGGAGATGAAGCTTCCTACTAATGGCACAGTTTTGTTACAAAGGCCTAATGTGCCAGTATCCACATTGTTGAGACATCTTTACCGTTTTCCAAAGATTTCAAAGCTTGGATCAGTTGTTAAACTAGCCCATCACTAACTTGGCATTAGCAAGCTCTTGGAAGAGGGCAATAAGCTAATGCAAGTTAATACGTAAAATGTTGATAGCAATTTTCTTCCCCACAAGTTAAAAATTCCAGGTTAAGATTTAATAAGTAAGTGTAATAGGAGGAACAGGCAGGGCCAGGCGAATGAACGTGGTGGGACTAGTGGTCTGAAGTGTATTTTAATGCAAGGAGTATAACATAGGAAAGATGAGCTTAGAGACTAGATTAGTATACAGGACTATAATGTGGTAGCCATTACTGAAAATTGAGCTGCCAGTCCAGCCCTTCTCTCTATATTCCAGAGTTTAGATATTTTAGGTGAGACGGAGAAGGAAGTAAAAAGGTGAGGGATTTGCACCTCTGGATGAGCCCTCAGAGATGTCCTCTCATAGTACAGATGTCACATTCTCCTTAATCAGAGGGGCTGTATGGAGTCACAGATGTACAGCACGGAAACAGGCCATCGGTCCAACTCGTCCATGCTGACCGGATATTCTACACTAATCTAATCTCATTTGCCCCATATCCTCCTCAACCCTTCCTATTCATACACCCATCCAGATGCCTTTTAAATGTTGCAATTGTACCAGCTTTCACCACTTCCTCTGGCAGCTGATTCCATACATGCATCACCCTCTACATGAAGAAGTTGCCTCTTCAATCCCTTTTAAATCTTTCCCCTCTCACCTTAAACCTATGCCCTCTTGTTTTGGACTCCCATACCCTGGGGAAAAGACCTTTACTATTCATCCTATACATGTCACACATGATTTTATAAGGTCACCCCTCATCCTATTCAGCCTCTCCCTACACAGCTCAAATCCTCCAACCCTGGGGCAACATCCTTGTAAGTCTTTTCTGAACCCTTTCACGTTTCACAACATCCTTCTATAGCAGGGAGACCAGAATTGAATGCGGCATTTGAAAACTGGCTTAACCGAAGTCCTATAGAGCTGCAAATGACCCACCAACTTCTATTCTCTATGCACTGACCAGTAAAGGCATGCGTACTAAATGCCCTCTTCATTGCACAGTCTACCCGTGACTCCACTTTCAAAGAACTATGAACCTGCCCCCAAGGCCTCTTTGTTTGGCAACACACCCCAGGACCTTACCATTAAGTGTATAAGTCCTGCCCTGATTTGCCTTTTCAAAATGCAGCTCCTGATGCTTATCTAAATTAAACTCTATCTGCCACTCCCTGGCCCATCTCCCCTCGGTCACGTTGTACACTGAGGTAACTTTGGCTGTCCACTGCATCACCAATTTTGGTGTCATCTGCAAACTTACTAACCATGCTTCCTATATTCGCATCCATATCACTTATATACGTGACAAAAAAGCAGTGGATCCAGCACCAATCCTTGTGGCACACCGCTGCTCACAGGCCTTCAGTCCAAAAAGCACCCTCCACCACCATCCTCTGTCCCCTTCCTTCGAGCCAATTTTGTATCCAAATGGCTAGTTCTCCCTGTATTCCATCTGATCTAACCTTGTTAACTAGTCTACCCCGTAGAACCTTGTCTAACGCCTTACAGACGTCCATATAGATCACGTCCACTGCTCTGCCCTCCTCAATCCTCTTCGTTACTTCAATAAGTTCAGTCAAGTTCGTGAGACATAATTTCCCACACAGAAAGCCATGGTGTCTATCTCTAGTCAGTCCTTGCCTTTCTAAATACGTGCAAATCCTGTCCCTCAGGATTCCCTCTAACTACTTACCCACCATATGGGTAGAACTGAGGAATAAAAAACGTGCAATCACTATGATAGGATTATACTATGGGCCTCCCAACAGCCCGCGGGAGAGAGGGGGACCGATATTTCAGCGGATTATGGAAAGATGTAAGAACAGGGTTGTTTTTAGTGGGTAATTTTAACTTCCCCAATATTGAGTGGGACTTCCTTAGTGCCAGAAGCTTAGATGGGGCGATATTTCTTAGGTCAAACCAGGAGTTGCAATAATATGTAGGTAATCCAACTTAGGGAAGGGGTCATACTAGATCTTGTATTGGGGAATGAGTCTGCCTAGGTGATCAAAGTTTCAGTGGAGGAGCATTTTTAGAACAGCGATTATAATTCCATACACTAAGATTGTTATGGATAAGGATAAGACTGGCCTTCGGAACTTTGGATGGCAAGAGATATTGAAAGTTTTATCTAAAAGAAAAAGCAAGCAAATGTATGGTTTAGGAAACTGAAATCAAACAGGCTCGAGGAACATAAAGAAAGTAGAAAAGAACTTAAACAAGAAACTAGGAGAGCTAGAAGGAGTCATGAAATGTCATTGTCAAGTAGGAATAAGGAGAATCTGCAGGCATTCTATATGTATATTAGGAATAAGAGGGTAACTATAGAGAGGGTCAAAAGAGGAAATTTGTGTGGAGCTGCAGGAAAAGGGTGAGATCTTTAATGAATACTTTGCATCAGTTTTAACCAAGGAGAAGGACATGTTTGGTAAGATCAGGGAGAGGTATGTTGACACTGAGGCATGTCAATATTATGAAGAACATGGTGTTGGGTCTCTTGACAAACATTCAAGGTAGCTCGATCCCCAGGGCTTGATGGGATCTATTCCAAACTGAAGGCAAAGGAGGAGATTGCTGGGACCTTGACAAAGATCTTTGTACCCTCTTTAGAAACTGGTGAGGTCCCAGATGACTGCAGAATAGCCAATGTTGTTCCTTTGTTTAAGAACGTATTTTTAGGGACAGCATTTATTCACATTTGAAAAAGAAGGACTTTACGGATAGTCAGTATAGCTTTATGCAGGGGAGGTCTTGTTTCTCAAACTATTGAGTTTTTGAAGAGGTGCCAAAGATAATTGATGAGGGTAGAGGAGTGGATGTTGTCTACATGAACTCCACTAAAGCATTTGACAATGTCCCTCATGCTAGGCTGGTCACATGGGATCCACGGTGAGTTGGTAAGTTGGATTCCAAATTGGCTTGGTCATAGAAACAGAGCATAGTTGTGGAGGGGTGGTTTTCAGACTGGAGGTCTGCTACCAAGGATCAGTGCTGGGACCTATGTTGTTTGTAATATATATATAAAATGATTTGGATTAAAATATAGGTGGTCTAAGTAGTAAGTTTGCAGATGATGTGAAATAGGTGGAATTGTGAATAGTGAGGAAGATTGTCAAAGGATACAGCAAGATATAGATCAGTTGGAAAGTTGAGTGGAGGAATGGCAGATGGAGTTTAATCCAGACAAGTATGAGATGACGCATGTTAGGAGGTCAAACGCAAGAGGAAAATCATCGGCGGTCCCTCCCAGATGAGATGACATTCTTGCACTCTCAGGGTGAGTACATAGGTGGCTGTACAGACCAATACAGCTACCGCATGCTTTGTTACACTTCCGGCAGGTGGTGGCCATTGGAAGAGGTGGGCATTGGTGTGGCTGCACACTCCTTATACTGTTTTCGCCTGGCTTCCATTTTATCCCCCAGTGGCAAGTCTCGAGGTGCTCCATGCCTTCCTAGATGCTCCATCTCCGCTTTAGACAGTCTTGGGCCCAGCAATTCCTTGGTGTTTGTGGGAATGACAGGCTTAGCCAGTGAGGCCTTAAGGGTCTCACTGAAGCATTTCCTCTATCCACCTGGGGCTCGCCTGCTGTTTCGAAGCTGAGAGTACAGCATCTACTCGGGGAGACTGGTGTCGGTCACGCGGAACGACGTAGCCCAGTTCATCGTAGCCGATCAAAGGTGGTCAGTGTCTCAATGCTGGGGATGTTGGCCTGGTAGTGGATGCTGGTGTCGGTGCACCTGTCTTCCCAGTGTTTTCACAGGATCTTGTGCAGGCAGCGTTGGTACTGCTCTAGTGCCTTGAGGTGTCTGCTGTAGACAGTCCACATCTCTAGAGCCATATAAGAGGGCAGGGATCACCACAGCTCTGTAAACCGTGATGCTGGTGTTGGATCTGATATTGTTGTCCTCGTACACCTTTTTCCTCAGGCGGCTGAAGGCTGCGCCAGCTCACTGGAGGTGATGCTGAATCTCTTCTTCAATAGCTACTGTGGCTGACCGCACAGGGGGTGGCAGGGTGGCACAGTGGCCCCGTGGTTAGCACTGCTGCCTCTCAGCACCAAGGGGCTGGGTTCAATTCCACCCTCAGGCAACTGTCTGTGTGGAGTTTGCACATTCTCCCTGTGTCTGCGTGGGTTTCCTCCCACAGTCCAAAGATGTGCAGGCTAGGTGGATTGGTCATGCTAAATTGCCTGTAGTGTTCAGGGATTTGTACATTAGGTGGGTTATAGGGGGATGGGTTTGGGTGGGTGCTCTGAGGGTTGGTGTGGACTTGTTGGGCCGAAGGGCCTGTTTCCACACTGTAGGGAGTCTATGATCTTCTATTCTATGACACTTCTGAGGTATTAGGAGTGCTCAATGTTCTCCAAGGCCTTTTCGTGGACCTTGATCAGGGGTTTGCTGTACAATGCCAGGCTGGGTTGATGAAGGACCTTGGTCTTGCGGATGTTCAGGGTGAGACCCACGCTCTCTTACGCCTCTGTAAAGGAGCTGACAATGGTCTGGAGTACACCCTCGGAGATTGCACACACTCAAGCATCATTTGCTCCTGCAGCTCAATGACACTGGTTGGGGTGATTCTGGTTTTGGCTTGAAAGTAGCAGAGGCTGAATAATTTCCCGCTGGTTCTGTAAGTTAGCTCCACTCCAACAGTGAGGTGAAGCATTGCTGTAAGGTAGATCAGTATGGGGGGGGCGATGCCGCAGCCCTGTTTGAATGGGGAATGGGTCGGTGGTGGAGCCATTTGTCATTACCATGACTTCCATGTCCATCATGGAGCAGGGTGAAGGATGGTGACAAACTTCATGGCCCAACCAAAGCAGAAGACAGTCCATAATGCTTCCTGATTGATGGTGTCAAAGGCTACATATGGAGGTAGGTTCTTTCTCTGCATTTCTCCTGCAGCTGTCACACGGTGAAAATCATATCCATTGTGCCCCTCCATCGCCGGAAGCCACACAGAGACTCAAGTGTTCTAGGACAAGATGACGGCGGTGACCTGGTCCACAATTGCCTGAGCATACAACTACCTACCTACCTACCTCCCTACCTCCCCTCTCCACATTAACTCCCCTCCCCTACCTCTCCTTACCTTTTTATATCTCGCTCAACCTTTCCTGCAAGAAGAAAATATATAATAAATGGTAGCATACTTGGGAGCACTGATATACAGCGGGACCTTTGGGTGCAAGTCCACAGCTCCTGAAAGTGGCAACACAAGTGGGTAAGGTGGTAACAAAGGTGCATGACATTGTTACCTTCATCAGTCTGGGCACTGAGTATGAATGTTGGGAAATCATGTTACGGCTGTATAAAACTTCAGTTGGGCCACATATTATGTGCAGTTCTGGTTGCCACACTTTCAGAAGGATGTAGAGGCTTTGGAGAGGGTGCAAAAGAGGTTTACCAGGATGTTGTCTGGATTGGAGTGTAGTAGCTATAAGGAAAGCTTGGACAAACTTGGATTTTTTTTTCATTAGATTTTAGGAGGCTGAGGGGAAAATTATGAGAAGCGTGGATAATTTGAGTTTGTTTGTCAGGGTGGAAAAGTCAAATTCTAGGGGGCATAGGTTTAAGGTGAAAAGTTAAAAGGAGATGTGCAAGGGAACTTTTTTTTTTAAGAAACATAAATGGTGGTAGGTGCCTGGAATGCTAGAGAAGTTGGTAGAAGCAGATACGTTAGCAAAGTTTAAGAGGCATTTAGTCAGGCACATGAACAGGCAGGTTATAGAAAGATACGGATCGTGTGCAGGCAAATGGCATCATGGTCACCACAGATATGGTGGATTGAAGGGCCTATTCCTGTGCTGCAGTATTCTATGTTCTGTGTTTCCTTGACATGTTGTTTAACTCCTTAAATGGAATTTTAAAATAAAGACAAGTATACAATTATTATACAGTTAAATATTTTGTTTGTTCTTACCTGGTAAAACATGAACATGCTGGTGTCCATCCATATGGTGAGGTAAATGTCCTGTTAGTTCACAGAACAGATCTACCTGTCCTCTTAACTCCTGGTCTACCTGATAAACAAAGGTATGAGAAAGCTGATGAGAATAAATTTGATTACACTGTGTGTTACAACAGCAGGTGAATTGAATACTTTAGTAATGGAAAGCATAGGGCATATGCTGCAGAAACTTGGATGTACAACTGGACTACTTTGATAACACTTTTAAGAGGAATTTGTTCTGTCCTGCCCCTCTTGAAGGGAGGGGTGTTGTAAAACTGGTGCCAAGGGGTCAGCTCCATGGAAAGCAGAGTACATAGCTTTGTTCTTTTTAAATTAGACAAAAGAAGCATGAATGAGTGAGTGGAATCAGGCTCATATATACTCAGGGTTTTCGTTTTGCTTTCAATTATTGAAGTTGGGATTTTGGAGTTGAAGCCGCTAGATACAGCTGTCTCTCTGCTGCTACAAAAAGCTTCTGTTCTCTCTCTGCTGCCAGATTCATTCTGTCAGTGTTCCTTCTGGACTGGAGGAGATAGCAATTGAAGGAAATCTGTTTTTGCTGAATTTGCCCTTGCCAAGAGTGTGTTTATGGGATGCTGCTATATTAGAACAGTTGATGAGTCGTAGTTAAATAGTATATTGTTTTGTTGAGTATTTCGATAGTTAAGGTTATGCCAGTTTGTGTTTGTTTGTATTGTCACTATGTGTAAGAATAAAGTGTGTTTTGTTTAAAGTTTAATAGTTTGAGCAATCGAATTGGTGGCTCAATGGTTAGCACTGCTGCCTCTCAGCGCCAGGGATCCGGGTTCAATTCCCACCTTCAGGTGACTATCTTGAATTGCATCAATCCAAGTATATGGATAGCAGCAACCTTACAATCTTGCAACCTTCTTAGGCATCAGCAGCAAGTGCTGTCATTTAACCTGCTGACTGCTTTATGAATACTTGCTTCTTTTTACTTTGCAAGAAATTTTATGTGAATTCTCATTTGCACCAAGTATGACATAGATCAGCTCCTAAAGTAATTAGTTTGTGCCATGTGTTCGATAGAGGTTGGCTGTTCGAGTCAATGATTTCTTATATTAAAGTGTAATGGAATTCCATTTATCTATTATATAGATTTTTTTTTGGCAACAAGTCAGTACAGGTTCACTATACTTCAGGTGTCCCATTTCATAGAGACACATTTTGTCAGAGATGCAAAGCAACCTTATGTAACAGAAATAGAAGTCAAGCATTTCATGCTGGAGGCTGAACGGAAAATAAAGTTCACAAAAGCAAAATAACTGCAGATGCTGGAAATCTGAAAACAAAAAACACTGGAAAAAGCAGGTTAGGCAGCATCTGGAGGGGAGAACCTGAGTTTAATGTTTCAGGTCACTGACTTTTCATCAGAATTGATTAATATTGTTAACTTCAGAAAATTTGCAAGATGCTTCCATTTTGCTGTGTCCCTCACCCAACAAATACTAATCTTTGTGTGTTTATTTAATAGCGACTAGGATATGTAGTCTTAAAGAACTTGTTTTACTCTTTTTGCACAATTCTACATGTCATGCAGTTAATAAGTCCTCGTAAAGACCACATGGCACATCACACTTTAAAGGTGTTCTGAAGATACAAAAGTAATTATTTCATAAATAACAAACTCTCCTGTAATAGATATATTAGAGCTCTTTGAAAGAACTACACATTGACTCCCTTGCTTTTTCCATAATTTTCTAATTTCAATCGTAATTTTAAAGTAAATGAAAATTCTGTTTTGAAAGTTACCATTGAATCTGTTTCCACTGCCATTCAGCGAGTACATTTCAACAGCTTGTTAAGGGGATAAAAATACTCTTATCCTTGCTGATACTTTTAGTCAATTAACCTTAAATCTAGTCTCTGGTTGCTAATGCTCCTGCCAGGAGAAACTGTTTCTGGTTAAACACAAACAACTCTTTATAGATATAATAATTTGCAAAAAAATGTCAGCACTTAGGTATTGCATGGCGGATTCCTCTAACCTGGATCTTGATTTAATTTTAAGAAATTTCATCACCTCTAACTAATCAAATAGTGATGTGAAATCTCACATTAGTTCTCAATTACATTATGCTCGAGTTCTGTCAACTTTGCCACTAATTTTTTATAAAGGCATAAAATTCCAAAATGTGCTAACCTCTTTAGAAAAAGAGGAAACATAATTATACAATTTATTTTGCCCATTTTTTGGGCTGTAGTTATAACTACCGTTCTTGAGATTTTCAAGTTTAAAAAAGTTTAAAAACAGAGACATCCTTATACAACTGCTGTCGAATACTGAAAAGATACATACCTTGAAGTTACTTGATATCTGGTGTTCTATATTATTTATGTATATTTTATAGTCAAATGAAATCAGTTCTATGGAATAATCTGACTGACGACCTAAATCATGCAGTGTCTTTATTTTCAAAAAACGTTTTCATTCAGGGAGGCAATGGCTTAGTGCTACTATCGCTGTGCTGTTAATCTGGGGACCCAGGTTCGAAACATGCCATGGCAGATGGAGTTTGAAGTCAATAAAAACATCTGCAATTAAGAATCTAATGATGATCGTTTATTCATTGTCGATTGTTGGAAAAAGCCCAACTGGTTCACTAATGTCCTTTTAGGGAAGGAAACTGCCATCCTTACCTGGTCCGGCCTACATGTGACTCCAGGCCCACAACAACATGGTTGACTGTTAACTGCCCTCTGGGCGATTAGAGATGGGCAATAAATGCTGCCTAGCTAGTGACATCCTCATCCCGTGAATGAATTTTTAAAAAAACACAGAATGAGGATCTTGCTAGTGCTGTCAACACTATTACATAAATTGTCCTTGGAAAGGCAGAGTTGATTTTACATGTTAACATGTTTGTTGTTGATTGTGTTTTCTTAAAGTGTGTGGGAAAGACATTTCACCTGCACATTTGGGAAAATGGAGAGTTAAAATTGTTGAAAGATCAGATGAATCGCATGTATTGTTTTCAGACCAGGAGGGTCATTTATTTACTATGCTGTACTGCATTTTCAAACTACTTAAATAGTACATGGTCTGAGAAGATAAAACCCTTGTAACAAATATGATCCTTTCCTGAAAATGTGCAAGATTTCCTGGATAAAGTCAATTTCTTTTTCCCCAACTTCATGATGTCCATGTGTACAGACATTTCTGTTTGGTTTTGGTTTCAGCACCTTGTCCACTAGATGGCAGAAGTTGAGCTGTCTGAGTCACTGGGCCGTTTGTACCACTACATATATAGCCCTGTCTTTAGAGATCAAATGAAAGGACAATTAGATGTGAATGGTTTAAACACAGGAGGTTCCTTTTTTCCTGATATGCCCATTATCTCTCCCTTTTGAACTTCGTGTCCAATGGTTGTAGTATCATTCCAAAATAAAAGGGGCAAATTATTACAATGAATGCTTCCTTTTGTGGAATCTCGTTCGGAAAGTTGGCTGGACAACTTGTTTGTAATGCAGAGTGATAGCAACAGTATAGGTTCAATTCCTGCACCAGCTGGTGTTACCATAAAGGATTCTCCTTTTCCACCTCCTCTATTGCCTGAGGTGTGGTGACCGTCAGGTTAAACCACTGCCGATAGTCTCTAATGTGAGAGCAGCCCTAGGCTCTGATAAGGGTATGGCAACTTTACCTTCTACCAATGGGGAGCACGTATCACAAATTGGCACTCACCTGTCACCCTCCCCAAGAAATTTCAGCCACTAGATTAAAGAAAATAAATCAAATGTACTGGATGTTATCTCTATGTGGTGAGAAAAATAGGTTTGGTTGATGCCACTCTTGCTTTCTGTCTGGATAAAATGTTACATGTTGGCAGTCAGATCAGTTAAATGGGAGTTGTGATTGGAAAGCAATCAAGGACATTGCATGGGCAATATACAGCCGACAGCAGCTAAGATAACAATTCCATCTATCCAGTAACAAATAATCTTTCAAAAAATTAACAAAAGAACTGCAGATGCTGTAAATCAGAGACAAAAACAAATTGCTGGAAAAGCTCAGCAGGTCCGGTAGCAATTATTGGAGAGAAATCAGAGTTAATGTTTCGGGTCGAGTGACCCTTCTGCAGAACAGAAATGTTCTTCACGTGTTAAAATTTTACATGACAACTCGTACGTATACAATACCTTCCACATAATTAAATAAAAGGAGATACTGGATCATTTTGACAAAAGGTTGGTCAAAGAGGAAGGTTTTGTATTTTAAAAGGTGTAAATTGAGGTGGAGAGGTTTCAGAAAGGGATTCTACAGCCCAATGTATCAGAAGCTTAAGTAAATGCCCCCATTGGTAAAAATGATTCTGATCAAAGATGCTCAACAGGTTGTAATTGGAGGAGTGCATTAATCCCAGAAGTTTCTGGAGATGGAGGAGATTAGAGAAACAAAGAGGGGCAAGCTCTTGGGCATTTTAATAAATGCTACTCCCAAGTTAAGAAGAATTGGGATAAAATTTCAATGCTTCAAATTCAGACTGCTTCAAATCTTGCTTGTGATGTGGTTGTTTGTCTGGACTGTAGGAGTTGGACCATTTTGTGGAAATGGCATACCATCTTTTCCAATCTCATGAAAATCTACAGTGTTGTAAAGGGAACTACCAAGATAGGTCAACACAGGAATGCTGATTTCCTGGATTTATAATATTATATCAATAAATAAAGGATGATGGGCAATGTGCCTGTAATAATCTGGATGTGGATAGTTTTACGGTGAGACTTCCCAGCATATTTCTTACTAGTTCTTTCTATCTTGACTTTTTCAGCCGATTTCCCAGCCTGTCTAGTCAATGGAGCCTATCCCTTGTCCAAGTATCCCTTGTCCCTGGATCAGAAATTGGCTAACTGTAAGAAGACAGAGGGTGGTGGTTGATGGGAAATGTTCATCCTGGAGTTCAGTAACTAGTGGTGTACCGCAAGGATCTGCTTTGGGGCCACGGCTGATTGTCATTTTTATAAACGACCTGGATGAGGGCGTAGAAGGATGGGTTAGTAAATTTGCAGATGACACTAAAGTCGGTGGAGTTGTGGATAGTGCGGAAG